CTGCGAAAATCGCGCGTCGCGCAGCGTTCGGCTGTGATCGCCGTCGCGACGTCGAAGACGTTCCTCCCTTTCGCCATCGCCGCCAGTTTTGCCAGTGCCCTGACGACGCCGACCCTTTTCGAAGGGCATCGGACGATCGTCTCACCCTGAACACCCCAACCTACATCACTCAATCTAGTGCAGTTCCAAAGTCGACCCAAAATATTATGACACTCGATCGACTCTTTGACTCTAATGCTTCTGTCTTGCTGTGTGTTTGTGCCATTTTCTTAACTCTCTGTGACCGTGTTTCCTTTCTTCATTGATCTTTCCTCTTCTTTTTTTGGCGAATTGATTTCGAATTAAGGTAAATTTTGATTTCTGTGCCTGTGCCCACTAACCGACCCGTTTTGCTTCCTTTTCTGCTTTCGTTGTTGCAATTGCATGCGCGTTTTTCCTTTAGTGTTTGCCTGTTTCCTACCTGCTTACTGTGTGCCTTATTTAGCATCCGTTTGATAACATGTTTGTGCAATTCCTTTGCTCAGTTTTCCTGTTTGGTAAACATATCCTGAACCTGCAATTTTAGCCATATTTTCGGTCAAGAGCATGCCGTTTGACCATCGCAAGCCAGTCCGATGCATGGGCCAACGTTTGTTGCCTCATTTTAGTTTCTGGACTCTTCTGGTCTATTGAAAGCAAGTTTTTCACTCCGATACTGCTGCCTGCTGAGGAAATTTGTTAATCTGCTAACCAGAGGTTAGCAGAATGTGCCTAAACATTTTCGGGTGGGTTCATGTTGCAAATTGCCCCTTGAGAGAGCTTTTGCATTCACTTTCGGTTCAATTTGGACCACAAGGATGGGCCTGATCCATCACGTCACCCGGTGCAAATTTGGGCTGCTGCAAGCAAATTAAGACTCTTCAGTTAAGCTCCGCGGCCAATGCTTGAAACTGGGGCCTTTTTCGGGTTTCTTAGCTTTAGTGGAGCATAATTGCTTCCTCAACAAACAGCAAACGCGTCGTCCGGTGTGCAAATAATAATTTTCCAAATGAAACCTGGTTTGCCTTGTCCGGCTAATGACAAGGAAAGTAAGAAGCAACAGAACAATATTAATGGATTTCGTATAAATGGGCGGATAGTAGCATTTGTGTGTTCTGTGACAGCGGAATGATTAATCGATCCTCTTTATATTCGGGCAAATAATTGCTCGCCGAATGTAACCGTTTCTTTAGCTGATTCGTTCCAACATATTTTCACTTGCTTTTCCGCACCTTGAACTGTCCTTTGTCCTCCAAAAATGTCCAGTCTTCAACTATTCAAGCCCAGAAAAACACCACAAAAGGACACTTACTTAGATGCTTGTTACTTACGAAAAATATACAGCATTTTCCATGGCGGCAACTGCACACCGCCATCAACCTACACTAAAGCCGAATTAATTAATTCAACAACCTGCGGACAAACAAAAATTCATTAAATATATTAACGATGTTCAAACAATGCGCTCCGGTAACAGTTTCGATGCTAATCATCATTTTGGAATTGGCTATAAATACAATAATAACAGAGTAACAACTATAGGGTGCTGTCGATTATTCACTTTTTCAGGCTTTTATCGTCAGTCAGTTTGCACAGGCAAAGATAAGGCTGCAAAGGGTCTGATATTCCATCCAAAGCCACCAAACTAGCCATGTACTAACGGATATTTCAGCATGTTTGCCTCTATTTGATGCACAGAGACGTCCACGCATGTGACTTTAAATCAATCCACATAGGGGTGCAAACATTAAAAGTGACTTTCCACAGGCAATTAGCATAAGGCTAAATAAAACATGCCAGTTCGCTTCTTTTTCCCCGAATAATCCCCTGGCTTCTAGCATGTTTTTGAAGATCTGAGGTCTTTGCCGCCCTAATGGGCCCACATCAAATATTAAACGGGCCTCAATGGGCTCTGTTTATGCATTCCGAGCTTGGCTTTTGTGTTATCGATAATTTCTTAGCAACATCGCGTGTCCCATGCAACTTAAGATATACGACGACCCATCATAAATGTGATGGGTTCATGCCCGGAGAAATTGGGCTGTTTCTTTGCTGGAAATGCAGCATTTTCAAGCCTCTGAAAGTCATTTGTGGTTCTATAAAAGACCCGGTATAAGTCTTGAGGAAGTTAATGACACACTCTAATTGATTCCCTGCCAGTAGTTGGTGCAATTTATGGAATTAGTAATCGCAAATGCGTTTTCCAGAGCCAGAATACTCTGGCAAGTATAAAGCTTGACTTATTTCGGGTAATGACCACTGACTGTTATCAAAGTGGAGCATCGGGCTAATTCGGAATATCGATTAGTGGCTGCCAAATTTTATTAAGTTTTAGGTGATTAGGTCTCAGTGTTCGCTTCATTGATTTGGTTTGTTTTGCGCCAACCCCGAAAAATTGCGAGTTGTAATCGGTAACCATGGAAACAGCGCTAGACGAACAAATGTCACTGCTCAACGTCACTGAAATGTCACGCCACATATAGACGAGTCAGTGTCAAAATGACACCTGTTGCAGTTGACATTTCGATCAAAGTGTCTCAGCTGTCATTAAAGGSCATATATTAATAATGTTTTAAAAAGTTTTCAAATTTCAAACATCAGAAAAGTTACTCTTTCTTCTAAATGCTCAATTTTCAAAAGTTTCCCTTAAAAGAGCTGACATTCTGAAGGTATTTTCTTCAAAAAATTACGAAATAACTTTCGAATCCTTCGTCGCTTTGTAAACAGTTTTGAAATCCCTTTGTAGCTTCGAATTTGGAACGAAAATCGAACAGAATAGTCGAAAGTTTATAACAAATTATTTGGAAATCTCGCCACCTCTATTCCTCTAAAGACTGTAGAATTTGTTAAAAAATGTGTTTTTTAGTTTCGACTGAATTTTTTTTGCTTTAGTTTCTGCTGAAAAACGCTTTACTTTGTAGTTTCACTAAAAAATACTGACGATCTGGAGGACTTTGACGCGAAAAACTACAAGATAAATTTATAGCTGTGTA